TAGTACAGACGGGGTTTCACCATGTTGATCAGGCAGGTCTCAAACTCCTGACCCTGTGATCTACCTGCCTCAGCCTCCCAAAGTGTTGGGATTACAGGCGTGAGCCACTGCGCCCAGGCCACTTTGCTATTTCTTTTAACAAAGTTGTACTCAATACAGTTACTGTTGTTTTGTATTTTTATCTTATTATATTACATTGTATATATTGTTCTTATAAATTACTTTTTTTCTTTTATATTTACTAAAGTAGCATATTAACTTTTTTAGAAATCATATATGGATTTACCTATGACTTATCTATGAATTAAGTTCAAGCAAAATACTCGTTATAAAAAGGAGTCACTGAGTCTCAGAGAATTAAGCACTAGGATCACTGGACAGTGCCTGGAAGAAAGGACTTCTTACTCCTCCTTTCTCAGCACCCTTAGTGAGTGGACTGAGGGCAGCAGATGGATGAGCTAAGAGAGGCCAAAACAGCAATGGTATGGGGTGTGGGGTGTGGAGTGTGGGGCAGGGAGGGCAAGGAATACTGACAGCAGGATGATCAGGGCCCAGGGTGCTCTCCCGGATGCTGAGGGCATCATTCAGCAGGTGGGCAGCTTCCTTATACTTATTCTGGTCCCTGGAAGAAGACAAAAGTGACAGGAGTTACCCTGAACTCTGCCTGCAAGCCTTCTTCTTCCCTCCTTCCCTTTGGGAGGACTGAGTACATTTAAGGACTGGGGACCTCCATGAGGAGATAGGAAGCCTGGTGTGGACAGTAAGGGGGCTTCACTGACATACTCATACCAGAATGCAGGGCACTGCCATCGCAAGAGGAGGCCACAAGTTATAGGAAGCGAGAGGGCAGGGGGAAGAGAGGGAGAGAGCACGCCCCAAAAGAGATTAGAGGAACAGTGATCCCAAACAATGAGCAAATGCTTAGGTATGGGAAAAGTGAGAGTTCTGGCACATTAAGAAGCACCCGAGTGGGGTGTATCTGGGAGGCCCAACAGGCAGGAGAGGTACCCTGTAAAGAGGAAAAATGAAAACCAAAGGAGGACCAAGGTGGGAATGTAGGGGAAGATCTGGGCACTGGAGGAGGGAAGTCCTCACCGATACACCAAAGCAAGGATGTTGAGCATGGTGGCAACATCAGGGTGGCCACGGCCTGATGTGCGCTCCAGGTCCTCCAGTGCCTGCTTACAGAGTGGCACGGCCACCTCATAGCGACCTTGGGCTGCGTACTGAATCACCAGGTTGTGCAACGTCCGCAACCTTGCTGGGATCTCATATCCACCCTGCTGAGCTGCTGCAGTACCTTGACCACGGGACACTAAACCATCACAGAAAATAAACAAAGGACTCTTCCTCTCTCCTTTGCTGTCTGCCCTTCCACTCCCCATTGCACGTCTTGTTCCATACGTATGCCTGCCCCAACATGGGCTCTCAATATTAGACCTGCCTCAAGCACTATTCTTTTATCCACTCCCTTGACCTGTGCCCATCACAACCTCAGTTATTCACCCAGTAATTCATTCATTCAACAAACATTTATTTAATAAATATGAACCAAGGGATGTCCCAGGAGTACAAAGGTAAGAAAGACCTGGTTCTGGCCAGGTGCAGTGGCTCATGCCTGTAATCCCAGCACTTTGGGAGGCCGAGGCAGGTGGATCATGAGGTCAGGAGTTCGAGACCAGCCTGGCCAATATGGTGAAACCCTGTCTCTACTAAAAATACAAAAATTAGCCGGG